ATCCATCTTTACGAAAATACGAAAAAACAATTAACTCGGGCAGGTGGGCGCACACCTGTAATCCCAGCTACTTGTGAGCTTGAGCAGGAGAATCACTTGAATCTGGCAGGTGGGTTTGCAGTGAGCCAAGATGGCACCATGCACTCCAGCCTGGGTGACAGAATGAGACTGTGGTCTCAAAAAATTAAATAAATAATAAAATAAAAAAGATGTCCACATCCCAATCCCCGGTACCTGTGGGTGTCACTTCATATGGAAGTGTCTTTGTGGATATGATATTAGGGGTCGTGGGGTGGGAGGTGGGCCCTTAAAAGCCCTCTCGTTCTTCCTTACAGGTGGGAGGCACAGGGCATGGGAGGTGGAGGCATAGAAGAGAAGGCCATCATGACGACAGCGGCAGAGCGGCCCTTGGAGATGCTGCTGGATGACTGGAGATGCATGCCACAAGCAAGGGATATGTGGCATCCACCACACAGCGGAGGTGGGCAGGGGCAGTTCCCCACCAGAGCCTCAGAGGGACCGGTGCCCTGCAGCACCCTGGCTCAGCCTGGGGAAACCCCTCTCAGGCCTCAGCCTCCAGACCCGAGAATGACTTCTGTGGTGTCAGGCCGCCGGCACACGTGGCCACAGGAAATGAAAAGTCACTCTCCCACTCCGTGGCAGGTGAAGCTGGGGTGTCTTATGGGGAGGTGGAGGACACATCTGGTTGGCTTTCTGTGTGGACCATCCTCACGTTGCGCAAGGTCACCTCCAGCTGCTGCTGACTCATGGTGGGGAACAGCTTCCAGAAACTTCCAGGAATGTGCAGAGTGGTAGGCGTGGATATGGGCCCTGCTGGTCCCTGCCAGGGGGATGTGTGGGCACCACAGGCGAAATCAGCCAAAGAAAACGCTAAATTCTCTTGGTGTCCTCTTTCTCTCGAGCAAAACACGAATATGTGCTTGGCAGTGGTTTGTATGGCTCATACCTGTAAGACCAGAATTTTGGGAGGCTGATGCAGGAAGATCATTTGAGCCAGGAGTTCAAAACCAGCCTGGTCAATTTCTTTCTTTTTTCTTTTCCTCTTTTTTTTTTTCAAAAAAAAAAACCAGAATGATATGGGATGTAAGAAGCATTAATGAACAAAGTAATAGATAAAAAGATGTTGTTAAATTAATTACTGACAATTCAAGATTAACATTTTTGTTTGCTTAAAAGAGTTGGGAATAAAATTTAGACAGTAAATACAAGGAGGATAGAAGAGATGGAATTCAATGGGCCAATGGCAACTAAGATCATCACTTTGTTTAGAAAGATGAGGATATTAAATTTCTTTAGACTTTGTCAGGAAATATATCATTTTATATTTATGTTGAAAGTAACCACCAAGATAATAGAAATGCAATCTATAGCTTCCAAACCATTAGAAGAGAAATACAAAGAATAAAGATAATTTTATCAATCCAACAGAAAGAATGTAAGGGAGAAAAAAAGAAGCAAAAATGAGGTTGGGGGAGGTGGTGACAGGAAGATTATACAATGAAAACGCAGCACAAAAGTGTATAAATTAACCCAACTCTATCAGTTGTCACAATAATTGTATATGGGTCAACTTCAGGCTAGCTAAAGAAGAAGATGGTCATATTTGATTAAAACAAACAAACGAATGCTGTTTATCGAAGACATACCAAAAACAAAACTACCTGGAGCAACTGAAAAAGATGTAACAGGCAACTACTAACAAATAGAGAAATTGGTATAGCAATATTAATATCATATAAAGCAGAATTAAAAGCAAAATCATCACTAGTGATAAAGAAGCACACTGCATTATGAGATAGTTTTTCTTAGAAGATATAACAACTGTGAATTTTTATGCATTAACAAGGCTTTAATACATATAAAGAAAAACTAACAGAATTATAAAAATATGCAGACAAATTCACAATCATAGTGGATAATTTAATATAACCCTATCAAAAATAAAGCCATCAGACTGGGCGCGGTGGCTCATGCCTGTAATCCCAGCGCTTTGGGAGGCCAAGGCAGGCAAATTGCTTGAGCCCATGAGTTCGAAACCAGTCGGGGCAACATGGTGAACATGGTGAGACCCTGTCCCCGCCAAAAAAAAAAAAAAAAAAATTACCAGGGTGTTTTGGTACATGCCTGTAGTCCCAGCTACATGAGAGGATGAGGTGGAAGGATCAATTGAGCAATTGAGCCTGGGAGATAGCACCACTACTGCACTCCAGCCTGGGTGACAGAGGAAGACCCTGTCTCAAAAAAAAAAAAAAAAAAAAAAGGAAAAAGAAAAAAGAAAGAAATTGACCAGGCTGGTTTTGAACTCCTGGGCTCAAATGATCTTCCTGCATCAGCCTCCCAAAATTCTGGGCTTACAGGTATGAGCCATACAAACCACTGCAAAGCACATATTCAGTGTTTTGCTCGAGAGAAGAGGACACCAAGAGAATTTAGCGTTTTCTTTGGCTGATTTCGCCTGTGGTGCCCACACATCCCCCTGGCAGGGACAGCAGGGCCCATATCCACGCCTACCACTCTGCAGCATTCCTGGAAGTTTCTGGAAGCTGTTCCCCCACATGAGTCAGCAGCAGCTGGAGGTGACCTTGCGCAACGTGAGGATGTCCCACAAAGCCAAACCAGATGTGTCCCTCCACCTTCCCCATAAGACACCCCAGCTTCACCTGCCACAAGGAGTGGAGAGTGACTTTTCATTTCCTGTGGCCACTGTGCCGGGCGGCTGAACACCACAGAAGTTCATTCTCGGGTCTGGAGGCTGAGGCCTGAGAGGGGTTTCCCCAGGCTGAGCCAGGGTGCTGCAGGGCACCGGTCCCTCCTGAGGCTCTGTGGGAGGAACTGCCCCTGCCACCTCCGCTGTGTGGTGGATGCCACAATCCTTGGCTTGTGGCCGCATCACTCCAGTCATCCAGCCCAGCATCTCCAAGGGCCGCTCTGCCCTGTCGTCATATGGCCTTCTCTTCTATGCCTCCCACCTCCCCATGCCCTGTGGCCTCCCACCTGTAAGGAGACACGAGAGGGCTTTTAGGGCCCACCTCCCACCCCACGACCCCTAATATCATATCCACAAAGACACTTCCATATGAAGTGACACCCACAGGTACCGGGGATTGGGATGTGGACATCTTTTTTATTTTTATGTATTTATTTAATTTTTTGAGACACAGTCTCATTCTGTCACCCAGGCTGGAGTGCAGTGGTGCCATCTTGGCTCACTGCAACCCCCACCTGCCAGATTCAAGTGATTCTCCTGCCTCAAGCTCCCAAGTAGCTGGGATTACAGGTGTGCGCCACCATGCCGAGTTAATTTTTGTATTTTTCGTAAAGATGGGATTTCACCATGTTGGCCAGGCTGGTCTTGAATTCTTGACCTCAAGCAATCCGCCACCTCAGCCACCCAAAGTTCTGGGATTCCAGGCCTGAGCCACTGCGCCGGGCCTTGCGATGTGGACATCTTCTAGGATGCTTTTTCAACCCACCGCACATGAGACAGGGACACTTGGACACCAGTGTGGGGTGGACCCTGGCCCTCTGGATGCCCAGGGTCTGAGGTTGGGTCCTTGGGGTTCACAGGGCTGATGAGTCCAGACCTTTGTTCTGGCAGCCCGTGTCCTGGCTGCGCTCTGGGCGCCTCGGAGGGTAGACGGGTAGACAAACACGCATGGGCTCTGCCTCCCCCGTCTGCTGGCTGACCCCTACTGGCGGGGTGATTTTGTCAGCGGCTGCACCTCCGCCGACCTGTATCATCCAGTCCTCCGGCAAACGTCACCGGGGCTCCACCGGCCTTTGTGTAAGGCCAGAGAAGATCATGGGTGCCATAAACCTTCATGGGCCCAAGGGGCTGGTGTCCTGGGGCCGGTGACTTAACAGGCAGAGATGTGGAGACCGGGCTGAGCCCAGCGGGGGAGGGCGACGGCAGGCAGGGGTGCGGCTGGAGGGATATCAGAGGGGGCTGCTTTAAATCGCCGAGTTTGGGATTAGTTTGTGAACCAGTGATAGGAGATGGGTGCGGCTGCAGAGGGTGACAGGGGAAAGCAGGTGACCATGGCGGGGGTCTGCAGGATAGGATAGGACACTGCTGCTGGGGGAGGGAAGGGAGGGCCAGGAGGGAGCTTTGGGGCTGGCTGGAGGCCCTGGACGGGTGGCTGAGGGGTCAGGGCTTTACACTGAGCGGCTGGCCCCAGGGAATGAGTGGTGTGGCCAGGTCTCCGTTTATGGGACGGAACTGAGATGCAGAGGCTGCAGGAAGGTGGCAGAGCTGCTAGGGGTGGGGCCAACCTCGCACAGACACTTGCTGTGTGCGAGGCCCTCTGGTTCGGGGAGCTGGGGAAGGGGACCTGGGCTGGACCCTGAGGGAGTCACACAGTCCATGCCCTTTCGGAGCTTGAGAGTCAGTGAGGGAGAATGTGGGAACAGCACTACAGCCTGGGCATCTGGGAGGGCTTCCTGGGAGTGGTGCCCCAATCTGGGTCTTGAGGCACCTACTGGGTGAGAAGTGGAGATGAGGCAGGACTTCCAGGCAGAGCCTGCAGCACATCCACAGTGAGGCAAAGGCTGAGCTCCGTGGACCTTGGTGAGGAGTGTGGACTGAGCATTTGGAGAAGGGGTGGGAGCAGGGGCAGGGCCTGGGTAGAGCAGCTGGAGACCTGGGCAGAGCTCCTGGGGCTGTCCAGGTGTGAAATGAGGAATCACCATGGGCTCCAAGGCAGGAAGCCATGGCTTCCAAACGTGGGTCAGCGGCCTGCCCTCTGAGGCGTCCCAGGGGCAGCCATAGCCCTTCCTCCAAGCCTCTGACTGTCATAAGACAGGAGCCCCATCCCACCAGCTCTGGTCCTGCCCCTCAGTGAGGGAGGAGGAGGCCATGGCTGCCAGTCCCTGACCCCACCATCCACCTGGACTCTGCCTGCAGTGCTCGTGCCTGGGACGGGCCTGGCTGCCATCCTGAGGACACTGCCCATGTTCCATGACGAACAGCATGCCCGAGCCTGCGGCCTCTCTGAGGACATCCTGGTGCTGCCGTGAGTGTGGGCTCCTCCCGGTCCCGGGCAGGGCATGGCTGCTGGGGGGCACCGAACCCGAGGCTGGGCACTGCTGGCCAGGCCCACGTGAGCCGTTTGCTCACCCCTGTCTCTAACATCCCCTCAGCTCACAGGGCTTTAGGATTGACCAGCAGCCGCCTTCCACCAGAGCCTGAGCTCTGAGGGTGCCCCTGTGCCTGGGCCCACCTTCCCTCCCTGCCCTTCTCCCACACCCCCAGCCAGGCTGGTTCGGCAAGTGTGATGAGGGCTCCCCATGTAGGCACCCTGTATATCAGGAGCCGGCTGGCCCAGGCGGCCTTGCCCCCAGCATGGAGATCCTTCCATTTCTCTGCTCTGGGCCCAGCTCCTTGATGTCCCCCACAGCTGGGGATGAGCTGGGAGTTGCCCTCGTGGTGGCTGACCGCCACAGCCGTCGCAGGCGAGCCTCCTGCCAGCAGCCTCTCCTGCCGGGGCATGGGCTGGTCCCAGTCCCCCTCTCCGAGCTGCTGTGGGAAGAAGACTGCTGGGAGTGGCCCATCCTGACCCACATCCTCGCCCCTGTGGGGAGCTCCAGGTGGAAGGGGTCCTGGGCCTGGGATGCTGAGAGTTTGCTATGTGCAGAGCCCTTGGCGTAGGGGCCCCAGCTCCGCCAGAGGGGAGCAGAGCAGGTCAGGACATTTGGAGGTGCAGAGCAGGAGCCTGCAGTTCCGCCTCCTGCTGTTTCCGTCCCGCAGCCCGGCCACCCCCAACCAGAGGATCCTCTACACCGTGCTGGAGTGCCAGCCCCTCTTCGACTCCAGTGACATGACCATCGCTGAGTGGGTTCGCGTTGCCCAGACCATCGAGGTAGTGGGGCTGGGGAGTGCTGGGTGGGGCTGTGGTGTGTGGGTGGGGCTGTGGAGAGTGGGCAGGGCTGTTGGGTGTGAGTGGCGCTAGGGAGCATGGGTGGGAATGGGGAGTGTGGGCGGGGCTTGGAGTGTGGGCGGGACTGTGGAGTGTGGGCGGGACTGTGGAGTGTGGGCAGGGCTATGGAGAGTGGGCGGGGCTGTGGAGTGTTGGGGGCTGTGGGTGTGGGCGGGGCTGTGTTGTGTCAGCAGGGCTGTGTTTCATGGGTGGAGCTGTGTTGTGGGTGGGGCTGTAGAGTGGGAGTGGGGCTTTTGTGTGGGTGGGGCTATGCGTGTGGGCAGGGCTCTGGGTATGGGCGGGGCTGGTGGATGGGCAGTGGCCCACACAAACACTCTGGGACAGGTGAGGAGCTGCAGGGTCTGGGGTGGAGTCCGCCTGCCCAGCCTGGGGCCTGGGAGCATCTGGGTATGGCAGCTTCAGGAAAGGGCAGGGTCCACATGTCAGAGCTGGGGGCAAGACTCTGAGGCCCCCTCCCTCATGCAAACTAGGGGTGGACGTAGAGGGCCAAGTCGACTTCCCAGGCGAGGACACAGTGGGAACAGCTATCTTAGCCTGTCTCAATTAGTATCTGGGGCATGGTGTGTGATGCTACCTCGAGGGCCGACACGCTCCTTGTGCCTGGCTGGTGACTGGCTCACTGCCCTCTGTCCGTCCCCTCCCCAGTTGGGGTCTTAGTGGATTTAGGACCACAGCACTTCTTGCAGATTCTTGTGGTTTCAGGCAGAACTATCCCCCACCTCATCAGCTTTTCTTCCCCATTCTCCCCCACCACAGCACGCTCCCATGTTACCTGAGCTGCCTCCCCTGGCGGGGGCCTCCTGCCCTCTCCAGTCCCAATTCTCACCTGCTTCGTTTACAAACCCCCTGCTCTCCTGAGTGGGAACACCTAGGCTTCCCCTTCCCAGCAGCGGGGTGGGGGGCAGCACCACCCAGGACAGGCTCCTCCATCTGTGGCCGGCAGCCCTCACCGGACAAGGCCTGACTGCTGTTTGAGGCCCACGAAGGTGCCCTGTGGTCCTTACTGCAGGGACCAGCCCTGGACAGCCTCACAAAGGCCTTCTCAGCTCAGGGGCCCAGCCTGCCGTCTTGCCGCGAGTGGCCAGCAGAGGGCGCCCTTCCCCTCCTTGGCCTTCGCTCCTCTGCAGTTCCCCGGGCCTACAGGGCTTGGTGTTTCAATAGCCCACCAGGCAGGCCCAGGCTTAGTGTGGGACCCTGGGCTCTTGGAACGGTGCCCTGGCAGCCACAGCCTGGACCTGCCACCCTCCAGGGGGTGGTGGCCAGGAGACGTCCCTGCCTGGCCAGCTTCACTGCTGCCCTTCAGTGTCCTGCCCCCCGGCCCAGGTCCAGATCCAGGCAACCTCCATGGTCACCTGCTGGCTCCCGGCCATGGCTGTGTCTTGACCCTGCAGGCGTCCTTGTGCCCACCATTGTGTTCTTGCCTGATCCGCCGTCTGGGCTTCGAGGCTCATGCACCACCACAGCCCCCTGCTGCCATGTGAGGCGCTCTCCCGCCCTCCAGGAATGTGCAGAGGCCCCTCGGAGGGACTCGTTCTCGAGTGCTCTGAGGGGAGCCTCAGCGTGCGGTGGGTGCACCTGAGTGGCATGGAAGCCTCGGGGCAGGGAGAGCATGGGGGTCCCAGGACTCCACGCCAGGTGCTCGCCTTCCAGAGAGGGACTTCCAGGCCAGGGCCCCATGGGCGCCTCCCCCGAGTTCTCCCCTCTGCATCTGGACCCTTTCCCCCTGCTGCACCCTCCCCCATGCCTGCTCCCCGAGGGGCTGGCCTGCCTGAGTGTGCGCCCCTCCTGCAGAGGCACTACAAGCAGTACCACGGCTTTGTGGTCATCCACGGCACTGACACCATGGCCTTTGCTGCCTCGATGCTGTCCTTCATGCTGGAGAACCTGCAGAAGACCGTCATCCTCACTGGGGCCCAGGTAACCTCAGGGGCCCAGGGCTCCTAGGAATCGGGGCTTCCTGAGGCCACAAGTCAAGTCTGTGCTGCCGGCGGCTGCTGCAGGATCCTGGGCTTCCTGCTCAGCCCGGCAGCTCCTGAGCTGGCTGCTGCAGGGCCCATGCTGGGCCTCACGAGTGCTCAGGTCCTGCCAGGGTGCCAGCCCACTTGCCCCATGGAGGGGGTCATCTCCTGCTGGTGGCCCCGGGAGCTGTGAGGCCCTGGAGCCCCCAGAGCCATGCCCACCTCGGCCCTGGGGGTGCCAGGCATCCCTTCCTCTCCTCCCGATGCTTGCTCGCGGCCGCTGCCCACCTCTCCGTCTGGCGCAGCAGGATGGCTACACACAGAGCAGCGCCGGGAGGTCCCCACCGCGTCCCTGCCTTTGTCCCTCTCTTTGCTCCACCCACTGTGGTTCCAGGCAATGCCATCCTGGGGGCCCTGGCACACGATTTCCCCGCTTCTCTCAACTTAACCCAGCACAAATCCCATAAGCCAAGGCCAGTGGATTGTTCTGGAAAACTGGATTTGAGGGGAGGTGGCAGGGGAGGTCGGCTAGAGGCTGACTAGGGGTCCCTGTTGCCTGCGGGTGGCAGTGGGCACCTGAGCCCCTTGGGATCCTTTCCCATGGCTGAGGCTAAGGTCTTGTGTGGGAACCCGGTACCTATGTCCCTTTGAGCTTGGTGGCAGCTCCAGGAAACTCCATGGAGGCTCTCTTAGGAGGTCTGCGGGGAGCAGTCCAGGGAGGCGGCTCAGCCGTCCCGCTCTGCTTACCTGGAGCCATCTCCCTTGTCCCTCCGGGGTCTCCCCGGGGCCCACTGCACACCCGTTAGGAGGGGAGCAGCACCTCCTGTCCCAGAGCTCAAGAAGGAGGGACAGGACTCCGGCTGGTTTTCCTCTTCCCAGACACTCCCGAGCCCTGGGGCAGCAGAGTGTCCCATGGGCCTCTCCAGGGGAATCAAGGGCACAGTTACGAGCGCTGTGGGCCCCAGGAATGTTCACATGCGTGTTCTTCTCTCCCTGATGTTGGCCTTTGTCGGGGCATCCTTATCCCTGTTATACCCATGGGGAAACAGGCTTATAGGCCGAGGACTCACCCACAGCCACGCACCACATAAGGGCTGAGCCAGGGAGGACCCAGGACCCAGGACCTAGGACTGCCACCCTCTGCCAGGGCTCTCTCCCTCCAGAGGCCCTGCACTGACCACTGCCCGGCCGCCTCCTCCTGAAGACCCTGGCCTCTGCACGGCCACCTGCGCCCTCCTGGGACATGCTACTCAGTCAACCATAGGGCACGGTCGCCCATGCTAGACACAGGCAGCTGCGGGAGGAGCTGTACTGTGCCTGGCATCGCGAGGCAGTTCCTTTCTGTCACAGCCCACCCACCCCTCACCCCCACCACCCTCCTTCCAGCCCACAGTTCTGCTGGGGTAGCAAGGGAGCTGGGCAGGGCAGCTGGGGTGGGAGGCCTGGGATGTGTTCTCCAGTATGGGGACTGGCTGGCCTCTGCTGCCAGCACTCGGCTCTTGGACCTGTAAAGGGAGCTGGTGGGTGGGTTGAGGTCCTGGGTGCAGGCTGGCATCGTCCGCAGGGGCAGCTGTTGTTGGCGGCCTTGGAGATGGGCTTACTGCCCAACTCCTCTGAGCACCCCGTTCCCCCAAGACACCCATCTCCAGGCTGCCTGCTGCAGTCCAAGCCTGCCGGTCCTCTCTCCCACACCCCACCTGGGGCTCCTGGGCTGGGCCTGGAGGTTTCCCTGGAGTGATGAGCTGGGCATCCCAGGCTTCTGGGCTTCCCAGGCCTCAGCTCCTCCGTGGCCTCTCCCCCAGGTGTCCATCCATGCCCTGTGGAGCGACGGCCGTGAGAACCTGCTGGGGGCGCTGCTCATGGCCGGCCAGTATGTGATCCCAGAGGTACCTGACTGGCACGCATGGAGGCGGGGCAGGTGGGGCGGGGGCGGGAGCCCGAGAGCAGCCGGGAAACAAAGTCCCCTAGGCCCCTCCCCAGACGCCACTGCCAATGGCTGGGTGCACTGTCTTCTAGATCTTACGTTGTGGATATTTACATTAGAGATCTGTATGTACGTTTTACATTAGAGATATATATGTAAGCTTCTATAAGACCTCCTACGATGGATATTCACATTAGAGATATGTATACAAGTTTCTATAAAAATAGGTTGCAGCCAGCATGGCTTTGAAGGGTGTCCCTTGCCCTCCTCCATGTCTTTCCCTGTCATGTGGTATCCCAGGAAGATGTGTGCAAAGATCCTCCAGCCTTGGGGCAGGGGCTTTCCCTTAGGCTCTTGAGCAGCTTGACTAGAGCAACGACACCGGCTCCTGAGGGCCTCAGGGACTCCCATTCACCTTGGGCAGGGGGTCTCCAGCATCAGCTGTGCTCGCTGCACCTTTGGATGAGTTCCCAGGGCGCTCTAAGAAACAGGGATGGGGGCAGTGGGCAGGTGGGAAGGGAAGGAAGTACGGTGCCCTCCTGCCACCCAGCCACCTGCACACCCCAGGCGCTGGGGTCCCCAGGCCTCTGCAGGCTCCGGTTAGCCTGGGGGTAGGTGGCAGGGCAGGAAAGGGTCTGAGCGGAGTGGTACCTGCTCCCAGGAGGGTCTCTGCCTGTGGTGGGTGGGGTTACAGTCCCGCCTCCCCCTGGGCCTGGGCACCCCATTGATGGCAGGGAGGAAGCTGGAGGGCAGAGGGGTCAGGGACAGGGTGGCCGCTGCTCTGAGCTCTGTCGCTTCCTTCCCGCAGGTCTGCCTCTTCTTCCAGAATCAGCTGTTTCGGGGCAACCGGACGACCAAGGTGGACGCTCGGAGGTTCGCGGCCTTCTGCTCCCCGAACCTGCCGCCTCTGGCCACTGTGGGTGCTGACGTCACAGGTAAGCCCCGCAAGAGCAGGGCCAGGTGCCTGCCCAGTGCTGGTGCTGGCCAAGGGGTGGCTGCAGGGAGCTCGTGGCTGGGACTCGGCAGAATTTGAGAGCACCGTGCCTGGTTCTGAGTTGCCCTGGCTTATTTCTGGCCTGGGCTGTGGAGAAGCCAGGGCTGCGTGGACAGGCCTGCTGCGTGGCCACAGAGGTGGGGGCCTCCACAGCTCCCTGTAGGCTCAGAGGCGGGAGACCTGGAAGAGAGGTTTGGGGCATCTGGCCCTCGTGTGTCCTGCCCAACCCCTGGCCCCAGGCCTAGGAGGTCCTCAATGACCACCTGGCTCTGCCGCACCTCTGTGTGCCATAGCCTTGTCCCCAGGAGTTTCAGGGACTCTTTCTGTCCTCCGGTTCCGGCGGCTTCCTCCTGGGGGGCCCAGCCCGCCCCCTGGCCCTGGCTGTAGGAGCAGCCTTGGGGCTTGTTCTCAGAGACCGTTGCCCTGCCAGACCTCACCTGAGACGCAGGGCCACTCCAATGGCCTGCCGGAAGTCACTCCCTGGCCTACAGTGTCTCCGTCTGGGATGTGCGGCGCCTGAGGGAGCCCCTGCCTCCTGGGCTCTACCCGGCCCCTGCCCGCTCCAGGTCCATGACTGGCATGGCCAGTCCTTCTGACCCCACCCCAGCACCCCTCCCTGAGGCGGCAGGAGCGTCCCCTCCCTCCTGTGGGACGCATCCTGCCTACCCTGGCCCCCTGCTGTCTCGTGGCAGCCCCAAACCTGCCCTGTGTCTCATCCTGACTGACTGAGGTGGGGTCCAGCCCGGGGGAGGCTCCAGGGCTTGGCAGCACTGGCCTTCCTTTGGGCGCATTTGACGCCTCGCCTGGGGCTGGGTGGGGCTGCCTGCCCAGGACTGAAGCAGCTGTTCCCGTCTTTGGGGGGGTGGGCTGGAGGTGCCCCCTCTCCCACGCTGGGCTTCTATCCAGGCCTGGGTCATGGCGGGCTGATGGCTCAAGCCCACAAGGTCACTGGACGCCTGAGGAGGCACTTCCTAGGGAATCTCCCGGTGCAGCAGAGGCTCCCCGCTCCCCGCTCCCCCCTCCCCACTCCCCGCTCCCGCTCCCCGCTCCTGCTCCCCGCTCCCCGCTCCCCCCTCCCCACTCCCCGCTCCCGCTCCCCGCTCCTGCTCCCCGCTCCCCGCTCCCCACTCTCCGCTCCCCATTTTAAGGAGGAGCAGACCCTCCTGGAGAAAGGGTTGGACTGTGGGTTGCTGGGGCACCACTTCCCTCCCGGAAGATTTCCTGGACACAGGCAAGGACCCTGGGGAGCTCCAAGGCCTGGCATGAGGGGGCCCTGGGAAGGATCTGGCGGGGCAGGGGCCTTCCTGGGGCACCCACCGGAAGCCGGGAAAAGGAGGGGCTCTGGGCACGTCTGGCTGCGGGGCATCTGCAGAAACGGGTGGAGGCAGGTGATTCCGAAAGCCCCGGCATCTTCGGCACTCAAGACAAGGCGTGCGTGTGGGAGTCCGGGCTCGGTGGCGGCCTTGCTTGTTGCCCCAGGGCCCCTCAGCAGGACAGAACAGAGGAAACTGCCTGGTTCTACAGGTGAGAAACGGAGGCAGAGAGCGCCAGGCTCCCACAGGGAGGCACCGACTCAAGCCTGCGCTGTCTCCTGTCCTGGGCTCACACCCTGAGCTCCAAAGATGCCGGGGCTTTCAGAATCACCTGCCTCCACCGGTTTCTGCAGACGCCCCGCAGCCAGACGTGCCCAGAGCCCCTCCTGTCCCCGGCTTCCGGTGGGTGCCCCAGGAAGGCCCCTGCCCCGCCAGACCCTTCCCAGGGCACCCTCATGCCAGGCCCTGGAGCTCCCCAGGGTCCTTGCCTGTGTCCCTGTTCCAGCAGGGGGACTGCTGCTCCCTTGAGCACCTTCTAGGGAGGGTGATGCCCAGAACACATCAGTGTGTCTGACACGTGTGCAGCACACCGGGTCTCGGGCCTGGGCAGGGTCCACTTGCTCACCAAGGGCCGGAGCAGCCCGAACGGCTTCTTGGAGGAGGTAGCTTGTGAGCTGGTGCTGGTGGGGTACTGGCTTGCTTGCCCATGCTGGATGCTGGCACTCGGCCCCTCCAACCCAGGGAGAAGGAGCAGCAAGAGGTGTGGGCGGTGCCCTGCAGGCCCGGCTCCCCCGTGGGGCCTGATTCACACCTTATCTGGTGCTCAGGAGTGGAGCTTCTGCTGGTGGGTGGACCCCGCCCCGGCAGGGCGCAGAGGACCGTGCTCCGGATTCCAGGGACTCTGCCAGCACAGGGTGCTAAGCCTGGGCAGGCCACGAGGCTCAAGACACACCGGCCTCAGGCCCAGGGCCGCGGAGCAGCTCCTGGGCGTAGCTCTAAGGCTGGTCTGGACGAGAGGCTGTCCCGGTCCCAGCCCCCCACCCCTGAGTGTTTCCCACATGCATGTGGGTGTGGGAACCTGATGCCAGGCTGCCGGGCCGGTTCTGGCACCCGGTGTTGAGAAACCTCAGGCCTTGCCCAGGGCGTGGCGGCTGGGGCCCCTGGGGAGGGGCATGGGTTGGCAATGTGCACCCTCACTCTCTCTGAACCAGCTGGGGGTAGCAATGCCAGCCTGGGCCGGGATGCCAGCTACCAGCACCCTGTCGAGGGCTTGTCCTGGGCTTTTTACCTACTGTTTGGGAAGTGAGGGGCTGGGCTGGTCTGGGAGTCATGGGTGGGCTTGGTGCTCCTGTCCACAGTCGGCTCGGCACCAAGGAGTGGGGGGTGCATGGGAGGCTGGAGGAGGCCCTGCTGGCCCTGTCCTTTCCGTGTGTCTGAGGAGACCACACTGTCACCCCCAGGCAAATCCTGCACCCTTACCCTTCTGTGCTGAACCCTGGCCCTGGCCCACTCTGCTGGGGCCCTTAGAGCAGAGGAGGGTGGAGCAGGGGACATGGCTGTGGGGTCAGGCCAGGCCTGTCACGCACCAGCCGTGGGTCCTTTCGTTGGGTCATTCCAACGCAGAGCCCCAGAGCCCTTCCCTGTGCACTGGGAGAAGCCACCTCCCTCCCAGACATGTCCCAGCCACCCCAGCTGTGCCACATCCAGCCTTGAGGCTGCAGACTATACCGTTCGGCTCCTGTGCTAAGCTCTGGTATCTGTAAAACAGGGCCATAGTCCCTCCTGGGGGGTGAGGGGCTGAGCCAGCAGGCCTCACCTGGCGCTCCTCTCTGCTGCTGGGTGCGGGCTCATCATTCCCCTGGCCTCCAGCAGGCCTGGACAGGAAGGACTGGGGTCCCAGGGGTGGCCTTCACAGACCCTCAGGAGGCAACGGTCAGTGCAGGGTGGGCGTGGTTATTACTGTGTAATAACCCCCTCTGCAGCCATAACTCTCTGCTGGTGGCAGCGGTGCCCCCTCCTTCCCTGTGCTGGTGCCTTATCTGCTTGTCCAGCTGAGACACACACTGTCAGTTAAAGGGCATCTCATGCTGCCATCGTGTGGGCCTGACTGATGCTGTGGGCACTGGTGGGGGTGGAAGACTCACTGCCGGGTCCCTGCTCCCCCCTTTCTCATCCCCAGCACCCCACATCTCCCCTCTTCAGCTCCACCATGCCAGGGAAGTCCTTTTTATCGCATGCAAGCTGCTCTGGTGGAAGTGGCCAGAGACACATGGGTGACATCTCCCTGAGGGCAGGAGGAAGAGCCATGTGTGGGGGTCCTCCTGCCCAGGTTCCTGTCCCAGCACTGTGCCGGCCTCTCCAGGCGCCCAGGCCTTTCCCCGCCTCTGGGCCTCGGTTTCCCCGGGCTGGGCTCTCCAGCCTCCAGGGTGTTTACTGCCCTGGGCAGGCTCTGACACCGCACAGTGCGGTGGGAGTCCCCAGTATCCAGCCCTGCTCTGCTGGAGGCTGCCGTGAGTGTGGAGAGGGGCCGAGGGGATGGACCCCATCCTCGGCGCTGGCCTCTGAGGGTTTGGGGGCCGGGCTTGCGGCGTCAGCCTCCCACCCCCACCCACAGTGGAGCGAGAAGGTCGGAAGAACCCTGGGGGCTCGAGTGCTTCCAGAGAGGCGGCCTTCAGCTCGAGGACAGGCATGCCCTCTGGGGAGCCCGTCTGCATGGATGGGTTCAAGGGGCACTGACCCCAAATATCCATCCCTCTCCACTTCACCTGGAGCCTGCACCTCCACCATCACCCACCCTGGGTGTGGGGAGGGGGTGATGGGTGCACATTAGGATTTTGGGGTGAACTGGATGGAGGCCTTCTCTCCCCAGAGGTGAGGGATCCGAAAGTCCATTTGTTCACTCATTCAACCACTGAGCCGGTGGGCAGTGGGCACAGTGGGTGCCCAGCAAGGGGCAGAGGAGGCTGGCTGGTTCGACAATGCTGCCCCACGCCTGTGACCCAGTGCAGCGACTGCTGGTGGCTCCCCAGCTGGGCACACCTGCCCTCCTCGTCTCTGCGCCCGCCTGACGCCCCCATGCAGCCTGCAAGGCACAGCCGGGCCTCCATCTCTGCGGGACCCTCCTGCCCCCTTGCCTGGCCAGCGGAGATTTCCTGGGCTGTCACCCTTGAGACTGTGTTGCCCATTGGTCTCTCGCTGGCTGAGTGCCTCCTCCCGCAGCCCCGTGCATGCTGCGGAGCCTGGCACAGGCCGGATTGTGCCACAGCCTGGGAGGATTTGCCTGTGGGAGAGGAGGCAGGGCAAGGGGACTGAGGTGCGAAGGCTCAGGGCTCTGAAAACAAGGGAGGAGGCGGCCTGTGCAGAGGGCCAGGCGCTGGGCTGGGGTCTCGGCTGGCGGGAGACCTGAAGGTGCCACTCAGGCCCTTCCCTGTCGTCAGTCAACAGGGAGCTGGTGCGGAAGGTTGGCGGGAAGGCGGGGCTGGTGGTGCACAGCAGCATGGAGCAGGATGTGGGCCTGCTACGCCTCTACCCTGGGATCCCCGCCGCCCTGGTAGGGACCGCCCCGGCCATCCTGCCCCTGCAGCCCCGAGCCCCAGCCTTCTGCAGCTCCCGTGGCGCCCAGGCTCCCTGGGGCCCTCACCAGCCAGTGTAGACCCCACATGGACTTGAGATGTCTGCAGTGTGGCCACCCCGGCCCCAGGCCCTGTCCCCGTCCCTGGTGATGGTGCTTTCCAGCCTCTTGGGGAGTGGGCAGGGTTGGGGCGCGACTCACAGCCAGAACGGGGTGCTCCATGCTTTCCTAGAGGCAGCGTCCCCCCCAGATTCCAGCTGGCTCGGAGCCGCCCCTGCTGTGCTGGACAAGGGCGTTTGCGCTGGGGCCTCTGATGGCCTTCTTGGCTCCTCTCCCACCTCTCTGAAGTGTTTCCACGGTGTTCTGCCACACAAGGCCTTCGTCCCTACAGACAGGGCGACCCTTTGGGAGAATGTGGGGGGAGCAGCCCCCTGCAGGTGCCAGCAGCCATGCACACCTGCCAGGAGCCCCGCTGTCCTGGGAGCAGGGCAGGCACCAGCTGCCCCTGGCTTGGGGTCCCTCTCCTTGGGAGGACACGGGGCAAGCCTCAGTGGTGCTGAGGGCAGAGACCCTCACCATCCAGCCCTCCCTCCCACCACCGCCCCACAGGTTCGGGCCTTCTTGCAGCCTCCCCTGAAGGGCATGGTCATGGAGACCTTCGGTTCGGGGAATGGACCCACCAAGCCCGACCTGCTGCAGGAGCTGCAGATGGCGACCAAACGCGGCCTGGTCATCGTCAACTGTACCCACTGCCTCCAGGGGACTGTGACCACAGACTATGCAGCTGGCATGGTAGTGCCAGGAGATCAGGGCCTAGCGGGGAAGGGGACAGCCTGAGGGCCTGGCAGAGGTGGGCTCTGACCCACCCCTCACGGGCTGGGGGCCGTGGTGAGTCACCCTTCCTGCCCACATGCCCCTTCCTCACAGGCCATGGAGGGAGCCGGCGTCATCTCAGGCTTCGACATGACGTCGGAGGCCGCGCTGGCCAAGCTATCGTATGTGCTGGGCCAGCCAGGGTTGAGCCTGGATGACAGGAAGGAGGTGCGGGCGCTCTGGGGCTGTGGGCGACCCTCGGTGTGCACAAGCCTGTCAGCTGGCTCCCAGGGCATGCCTGGGGCGGTGCCGGAAGAGCCTGGGGGCCGGCCCAGGGTGTGTCCTGTTTGGGAAGGGGAGGGATGTGGCTCCCCATAGTGGTGAGGGGCAGCTCTGGGCCCAGGCTCCCCACAGCCCTCACCGGACCCCCAGCCCAGGCTCCGCCTGTCCTTGTGCCTTCTCAGCCTGCATGGAGACCTGAAGTTCCCCTAACTGTCGCCAGGAAATCCTCTCCTGCTTCCCACTTTTCCTGGAGGGTAGGGTTCAGACCCAGCTGGCCCCAGACCCTTGGGCTGCCAGCCCCTGGGGCTGGGCAGAGACCTCTGGGGCCCCTGGAGACCCCGAGCTGGTAAGGCCAGGGAGTGGGGCTGGCCTTGCGAGGGGACCTGGCCCACTCTGGCCCGAGGGATGAAGCACACACGGCCGAGGCTCAGGCCGAGGGCAACCTCTGCCTGTGTCTGGGTAGCCGAACCTCCAGGCTGTTCTGGGCTGTCCATCCAGCCCTTGCAGAGCCACTTCGCCTCTGTTCTGTCCCCCAGCTGCTGACCAAGGACCTTCGTGGGGAGATGACACCACCCTCGGTGGAAGAGTGCCAGCCCTCACTGCAGGGCAACACGCTGGGCCGTGGGGTCTCCTGGCTCCTCAGTCTGAGTGGCAGCCAGGTAATGGCGTGGCACACGAGCCTGAGTGGCAGCTGGGGGCTGTGCATCCTCTTGATCACCCTGGGATGCACCAGGCAGGCACGAGCCCCTGTAGCCATCACTCCAGCCCAAACAGTTAGGCACACCCCGGTTCTGGGGCCCAGGAGGAGGGTTTGGGGTCTGCAGCAAGGAGGGTTTGCAGGGTCCCTGGGGCAGGATGCAGGAAGGGCCAGGTGGTGGGCACACAGCAGGGAGGCTGGGGGACAGGGCTCGGCAGGCCACTGCCTTCTGACTGGCAGCGCAGCCTTAGTGCAGGGCTGCCTTGGGAGCTGCCTGTCCGGAAGACGGGTGGGTGAGTGGGGGCGGTGCTTGCTCTGGGCTCTCCCAGGCTCTGAGCACCAGGGGTTCCAGGCCCCCACCTGAACCTGGAGGTGAGGACCAGCCCTTGAGCACGTCTCCTGCACAACTGGGGTGCCTAGACCTAGGAAGGAGGGCTTTTGAGGCCTGGGGTCTGCAGGGGAATGGGGCCTCCCTGGACCCCGCAACATGCCCCCTTGGCTGTTGGACCAAGCATCCAGGCCTGACATGGGGCCTGGCAGGCCAGATGGCCTTGTTCCCCACTGCCTGGGCTCCTGCCCTGGTCTCAGTGCCTCAGTTTCCCCCCTATAGGGATGGACCTGTCTTGTGAGCCATGTGCTACAACTGCTACTTGCTGGGGCGGGTGATGCACAGATGGAAAGGACTGGCGTGCATGGCCCGTTATTAGGGCAGCTGCATGGGGCTTGAATGCTCTAGGGAGACAGGCCAGAGGCAGCAGCCTTGTCACCAGGCCATGTTGTGCCCGCTGGGTATGGTGGCACCTGTGAGGCCTCTGCCAGGACCCCGGCCTTTTGGCGTCTTGGTGAGCTCCCGGATGCCAGGTGCTGGGGGCAGGTGGCTCTTCTGGGAAGGTGCAGCCGTGGGAACAGGGCCTTCCTCCCAGGGTAGGGGTCTGGCTCCCCTTCCCACACTCCTCACGAGGGTGACTTATGATTCTGTCCCGACAGTGGTGGGAGCAGATGGGGGTGTCTTGGAGGGTGGGTAGCAGGCCCTGGCCACACACCTGTTGGGGACAGAGCTGGATGGTGGTCTCGTGGTCTGGCCTTGGCTCCAGGGGCAGGGGGCCTGGGTGGGGTGGGGTATTGAGGCTCCACCGCAGGCCTTCCAACTTGGCAGCTCAGGTTCCTTCTCACCCATGCCCTGGGATCTGTGGGCCCTTGTGTGGGGTCTGGCAGGGGTCACACAGCACCAGGGACTGCCAGTTCCACCAGATGCCAGAGGGAGGCATGGGTCCCAGGGTGCCGCCTTCCCCACCCAGGAGGCAGATGCCCTGCGGAATGCCCTGATGCCCAGCCTGGCCTGTGCTGCCGCCCACGCCGGCAACCTGGAGGTGCTGCAGGTGCTTGTGGAGCTGGTGAGCCTCCCCGACCCTGGGGGCCTAGCCCCAGTCACACCTGGCCCGGGGGCTCTGAACCCTCTAGGCAGGATGGCCTTTCATCCACCCACTGACCACACTAAGCCCTTGTCGGCCAGGCTGGGCAGCAGGACTGTCCTGCCAGCTTGTGGGGTCTCACTGCAGCTTTGAGGGTGGGCGCAGGGGCTGTGCTGGGCCCTACCCTCAGAGGGACCCCACCCTCCCCATGGCCTACCTGGCCCTGCCCGGCCCTCCCTCAGGGGTTGCGTGTCCTTGTGTCACCTCAGGGCAGTGACCTGGGCCTGGTGGACTTTAACGGCCAAACCCCACTGCATGCGGCCGCCCGGGGAGGCCAGGCAGAGGCAGTCACCATGCTGCTGCAGGGAGGTGTGGACGTGAACACCCGGGACACGGACGGCTTCAGCCCGCTGCTGCTGGCCGTGCGGGGCAGGTAGTGGGGCCTGGGGTGCACAGAGCTGCCTTGGGCAGGTGGGTGCAGAGGCTGTGGGCTCCTGTGCTCAAACAGCCTCCCTGGGCTGGGCTGGGAAAGGAGGAGGACACCAGCTTCCTAAAGGCGGCCCCCCTAGCCTGGGGCCCAGTGAGACCCCAGCCCAGAGATCCTAGAAAACAAAAACGTTATGGACAAAGCCGGGAGGACCCGGTGCTCCCGAGTCATCTCTGTACACCTGTGGGTATGGGGGGCTGGGGTGGAGTTGGGGCAGAAGGTCCTGGCCCAGCAGCCAGACGCAGTCAATAAAAAGCAGGCTACTCGGCTGCAGATCTGGGGCTGCAACAGGCAACTCGGGTCCTGGAGGACAGGCCCAGCCCATGCATTTGGGGGTCCCCTGCCCCACCCACAAGCCCTGGCTGGTGTCTCTTCCCAAAGCCCCAAGCAGCAGCAGAGGCAGAGTGTGTGCCTCTACCCCTGCGTAGGGGGCAGGGCCAGCACTGGCGGGATCTGTGTCCCGTCTCCCCTTCCTACTCTTTATTGCCCCTGGACGCCCAGCAGCCCCGGGTCTGGGAAGGCCGAGGACACGTCTGCTGGTGCCACTGCCCAGACGCACGTGGCTGCTCAGAGATCCCAGGGTTCCTGGGGATTCCTCCCTGCGGGTGGGAGGACTTGGCCTGCAGGACCCTGGGTTCTGTTTGGGGAGGGAGTGCTCAGGAGTCCCATGGAGAGAAGGCCAGGGTGTCTGAGCCTGGGGTCATATGACCCTGCCGTGTTCAACTGTGGCTCTCCCTCCCCAGCGGCGAGCCCTGGGGTGGGGTGTGGCGCCCTGTATGAAGTCAGTGACTGGGGTAGAAGGTTCTTTCCAGGCTTCTGTGAGCATTGACAGGGTACTCAAAAGAAAGGAGAGAACAGGGTGGTGGACAGGAGGGGGAGGGGCTGTGAGGGTCCCCCCAAGCAGGGCTGGGGTGATCTGGACTGGAGATTCTAGACTGGGAGTCCTTGGGCGTGGGTGGGTGGCACAGAGATGAGCTCACACAGGCCCACCCCCTCGCCCCTTCCTGACTCACAGGACCAGGCTCACAGCGACCCCCCAACTGGTCTCCCGGCCTCACTCTACCGCCAGGCTCCCCGAGGCTGCCTGCCTGGCCCTGCTGTGCCCTAGCGGGGTGCGAGGAGGCCACCGCCTCATACCTATTCCCAGGCTCCCTAAATGGGGTGACGGGGGGGGATTTGTGGTGCTTTGCAGGGGTGGGGGCATGGCCAGTGGTTGCGGCACAATCGTTAGGTCACCCCATGCAATGGGCTGTGTGGCCTCGGGCCTTTGTGCCTCTGCTCCAAGGCCTTGCTAGAGCCCCAACAGACTCCACTGTCTGGGTGCCCCGCCCCCACTGCACCCCAAGGGCAGTCAGCTGGATTGATTCAGTGTCTGCTGGGCCTGGCTGAGGAGGTCACCACGGGGTGTGATCAGTGTTTGGGTGTGCAGTGGGGCCGGTCAGCTCATGTAAGGCTGTCCTCTGGAATGGGCTGTCCCCTTGGGATGGGTGGGGGAGACTGCCCTGGGAGGAGCTATTTCGCCAGCACCAACCAATGCCCTCCCCTGGGGGCTGGGTGCGGGGCTGCCGCAGAGTTGACCCCTACCCCTTGCAGACCTGAGCTGCCCTAAGAAGGTGTTCTGGACAAATGGAGGTGGTGGGACCCCGAGATGATGTCGCATGGGCCTAGGCAGAGGATGGGGGGATGGGCCCTCATCTGAGGCTAGGGCTGTGGGGTCCTGGGCAGGTAGGTCCCTGTCCCTGTGCGCAGGACATGAGCCCTGCTGGCTCCTGAGTGAGGTGCAGCGGAGCTGGGCTGGCCAGGGCAGAAGGTCAGCATGCTCATTCTCACACAGGCATTCAGGTGTGATTGGGTTGCTGCGGGAAGCTGGGGCCTCCCTGTCCACCCAGGAGCTGGAAGAGGCAGGGACGGAGCTGTGCAGGTGAGCGCAGCTAGAGCACCTGCTGTTCCAGGCATGTGGGGGACACAGCTTGGGGAAGGAAAGCTAGACCTGCTGGGAGGGACAAGTGAGTCAGGGTGTGGGGGCTTCAGAGGCAAGGCCCGCTGACCTCAGTGTGCACCAGCCTGACTGACGGGAAGAGGTGTCTGCCTGGGACCATGTCATGGGGCAGGGGAAGGAGTTGTTATCAGCTGAGCGAACAGTCCAGCAAGGGTGTCCGTGTGTGCACATGTGTGCATGCGTGCATGCACATGTGTGCATGCATGAGTGTGTGTGCGTGCATGCATGTGTGTGTTTGTGCATGCGTGCATGTGTGTGGTGGGCTTGAGGAGGGGTATGGGAGTTGGTGGTTGGCTGTGAGAGGGGCTGGGATGTAGGCTCGGGGGTGGCTGGGGCTGCATTTGGGGAGGCTGGGGCAGGTGGGGCACAGGGGAGCTGAAGCCCCTGGCAGGTGACAGGTCTCGTGAGCCCTGTTCTCCCCAACATGGTTCCTGTCCTACGATAAACTGACCTAGGCCCTGCCCCCACCTGCTGGCCACATGGCACCAGTGGCCAATGTGCCTTCTGATCTCATGCTGCCCGAGTGACCACCGAGGCAGGCTCAGGCCTTCTGACATCGTGTTATTGTTGGGGAGACTGAGGTGCAGGGAGGCCTTCAGTGAGGGTGTTGGTTGTGGGTGGAGGTGGGCCAGGGCTGCAGGGATCCTACTGTGTCCACCGCAGCCAGAATCGCTGCCCCCCACCCCAAGCCTTGTGCCTGGTGACTTGGCGCTGCCTCCTGTGCCCAGCCTGGGCTGCCTGAGGCCAGGATGGCTCTGAGGGACCCAGAAGGGAGAATCGGAGGCAGGAGACCTGGCCCGGGTACAGGTGGTTGCTGGAGTGGGGGTGCTGTGAGTGGTGGGGTCTGTGTCCCTGTAAGTCCAGAGTCCCAGGCTCGGGGAGTGGGTGATGGCGGGGGCTTGGCTCACTGGCTGGGAGGGGAGTGGGTGCAGGCGCCTGCCCAGCAGGAGGAGGACTAGCAGCTCTGGCTCCTCCTCTGGGACTGGCCCACAACCTCTGGTCTTGCTTTTGAAGGGACTTCTGGGGTGACTTGGTCCAGATTTGCACTCCACGCGGGCCTTGTTGGCTCCACTGACAGATGGGGAAACTGAGGCAATAGTTAGGTCCTGTGGGAGCTGGGACCAGAATCCTGGTCCGGGACTCTGCTTGGAAGTGGGCCTGGCCCGCCCGAGCTGCTGGCTGGACTCGAGCCCCTCAGCCAGGCCTTCCCAGGGGCCAGTGTGTGTGGGGCTTGGCCTCTTGGGGCAGGTCCAGGAGGGGCCAGTGAGGCCACCTAGCAGAATCGCCCGAGATTACCCAGTGCCACTGCAGGGCTGCTGCTGTTTCCTGGGTAGGAGCAGAGTCCCTAAGGGCCCTCCGGAAGAGGGGGCAGCCCCTCCCTCACCAGGCCACTACCCCCAGCCCCTGCACACCAGGGGTGGGGCCTTCCCTGCCGGGTCCCTACCTGGCCTGCGCCTGGCCTCCCCAGGAGGGGAGTGAGGTCTTCCCAGGAGGGTGGCAGAGTGAGGAGGAGCTGGCAAGGTCCTGGCAGGTGCCTGCTCCAGGGCAGGTGGGCCCAGACCCCTGTCCCAGCCAGGACCACCCCCCATGCAATCTGCCAGGGTCCAGGGCCAACCATTATCCTGGGGTGCCTCCTGTGTCCCCCTCTCTGAACCACTGGGCTGCCTCAAACTTTTCCCTCCACCTTTGCGGACCCCGCCCCGGGAAGAGCGGTGTTGTGAAACACGAAACCGGCATGGGCTGCTCAGCAGGTGGGCGTGCGTATGTGTGCGCAAAGGCGCATGTGCTCCTGTGTGTGCATATATGCTCGTGTGTGAGTGTGCCTGTGTGGGTGTGTGCTTGTGTGCTCCTGTGTGTGTGCACGTATGCTGGTGTGTATGCTGCTGTGCGTGCATGTGTGTTCATGTATGTTTGTGCATGTGCACCCATGACTGGAGTCGTAGTCCCACCTACTGGGTGAAACCAGACTCCAGGCTGCCCGATGGCCCCCAGCGACTCCTGCTGCAGGACCAGGTCGCTGCTGGGTCAGCTGTTTGGGGCTGGCTTTGTAAGAGAGTCCAGGGCACCTGGGGGACAGGCAGGTGGGCAGATGGACAGGTGCCCAACAACTCCTCCTCTGTCCCCATCCCCAGGCTGGCATACAGGGCTGACCTTGAAGGCCTGCAGGTGTGGTGGCAGGCAGGGGCTGACCTGGGGCAGCCAGGCTATGATGGGCACAGCGCCCTGCACGTCGTGAGTGCCCCCACCCCCTGCACCCTCTCCAAAGGCTGCCACCTCCAGGAAGGACACCTGGACAATTCACCAGCTCCCTGCTCTGCCCCTCTCCCAAATCCCCAGCCCTCCCCATGCAGGACCCACACAGACTGGGTCCCCTTCCCGGGGGCGCTGAGCGGTGGGGGTGATGAGAGTGAAGAAGCTGCTGGGACCCTGTGTGTGTGGGCTGGGGGAGGGGGAGGGCGTCCTGGGGATGGGGGTCCTCGGCCAGGCTGC